TTTTTGTTTCCTTGAGATGAATACCCAGAAATGGAGTTGCTAGATCATATGGTATTTCTATTTTTAATTTTTTGAGGAACCTCTTACTGGTTTCCGTAGTGGCTGCACCACTTTACATTCCCACCAACAGTACATGATGGTTCCCTTTTCTCCACATGTTTGCCGACACTTGTTATTTTCTTCTCTGTTTGATAAAAGTCACAGTGATATTTAATGGCTTTGCGATTTCATTGAATGGCTGTATCATAATTTATAGAACAGTTCCCCCATTATAGGATATTTTGATATTTCCCTCCCCCCTTTTTAGTATAAATAAAGCCATGATTTGTGAAGGCGACTTTCCTGTGTATAAATGTGTATCCTGAGGATAATGCTCAAAAGTAAGATCACATGGTCCAAAGGTAAAAAACATTATTTTTTTTAATGAATAAGGAATGTAGCATGGATTTATTTTAATTTCTCCCATTTCTTGCATTTTTGCCACTTTTAGTTATTTATTGCTGTCTTATGTATTAGTTGCTTCCTCCTTTCGGAGGGGAATGTGCTTTTATGTAATCAGTGAAATGTGATTTGGGGAAGTTAAGTCCTATTCTGTAAATATTTGTTAAACCCTACTACGTACCGGAGGATGACCATAAGAAGGTGCCTCAGAGTAGGTACTAACCTTAATGCCTTTCCCAGCTCACAGAATCACCATCCCCGGGATGGGGAGGGTCTTTGTCTTTGCTCTCTCTCTTTCCCCAGCGTGTAAGAGCACCTGGCCCTGAGGAGGTGTTCACCATTTGGGGAGTGACTACATAAGAGCCAAACAGGAATGCGTAGGGGCGCCTGGGTGGCTCAGTCGGTTGAGCGTCCGACTTCGGCTCAGGTCATGATCTCATGGTGTGTGAGTTCGAGCCCCGCGTCGGGCTCTGTGCTGACAGCTCAGAGCCTGGAGCCTGTTTCAGATTCTGTGTCTCCCTCTGTCTCTGACCCTTCCCCGTTCATGCTCTGTCTCTCTCTGTCTCAAAAATAAAATAAAAATATAAAACAAACAAGCAGGAATGCGTACACAATATTAGAACCACTCATTCATGCAGAAGGTTTCCTTATGAAGTAATCCTCTGTTCCATGATGTCACATGGGCGCTCGTGGTCTGGTAGTATGTTTCAAAGTCAACCATGGCAGGATGTCAGTGTTGCAGCTGGGGCTGGTTTGTGCACATTTACTGAGCACCAGCTGTGTACACATGATGACCCACCCTCTGGGTGTCTATGATCAAGGAGGCAGGCCAGCCGACCGGAAACTGGAATATGAGAGAGACATGGTAAGTGCTGAGAGATGATGGACTTCCAGGTGAGGTTAAGCCATGGCTTCGGCCCGTTATTTAACTTCTCTGGGTTTTGGTTTCATAGAGATTTAAAGAAAGAGGTTGCACCGAGCCCTGGGATCTCTTTCAGGCCTGCAGTTCTTTGATTCTCCTGCCTGGCTTTTCCTCAAACAAAGGTTGAGGACATACTGTTTATCCAAACACAAGCATAGTTGAACTCCAGACCCCACAAGAGGTATTCCAGAATTAAAGAGAGGCATAGGATCCTTTTTCACTTACGTTTTAGTAGGACTTAATCCTTTAAAAGTGTGCATTTTGTTGTCTTCGTGAGCTGTAATTCAGATTTCTTAGTATACTTGAAAATACTGGTTAAATATTAAAATTCTATTCGTTGGAATCCTTGAATGTCATGAAGTTAAATATTGACCTATTTTCTTCTTCTTTCCCTTACAGCTGTTTGGGGCAACTTCGTTAACATGAGGTAACTCTTTTTAATAACTTGGATGCTGTTGGTGGGGTTTTGTAGATGCATTTCAGTCATTACATGTCATGGGTTAATTGAAGAATATTTAAAGAACGAAACTGGGTCTTTTTGCTATCCGCACACCTGAGCTTTGTCTTTCTCCTTATGTTCTCAAGGAATACATCTGATTTTGCTACTTACCCATTTTTACTGGTTGGCTCCCTTGCATTGCCCACCTCAGGGTCCCTTCCCTCCTTTGGTACGCAGTAAGGGGCTGACCCTAGCTTTTACACTGCTGAAATGTAAGGTGTGTTTCAGGGTGGCTCAAGCAGGCACACAGGGGGCGCGCTTTTCCAAAGCCTTTTGAAAAAGAGGCTGTCTTAGGGAAACCACAGCTGGCCCCTGGCCCTGGGAGCAGACCGTGAAGGCTGAGGTCATCTGTTTACCTCAGGATTAGGCCCAGGGAGCCTTCCGACTGAGTGTGCATTATTTGTTCTTCATGATAAATGCGGGAGGGGCACTCAGAAGAGTAAAATCTTTGTGTTTATGTTCTAAAAAAAAAATAATAATAACAGGCATTCATCATAAAAACAAATTTGGCACTGCTAGTACAGTTTTACGTTTGAAGCAAAACTTGCTCCACTCTCTACTTCTTGGTGGTGAAAATAAAAGAGCCGCAGCCATGGTTGTGGTGCTCGTGGTGAGTTTGGAAGTTGAATGTCCCTGCAGGAGGCCACTAGGGTAAAGGGTTGCTGTGTCCCCACCAGGCTTTTCATAGTGAGTAGATTTTGCAAGGCCGGTGGGGCCGCGTTGATCTGATTCCCACCACTAGGTCATGAGTATCTCCTGACAAAGGCTTCTTTCTGTGTGTGACTAGGAGGGGTGCTCAGATCCCATTTAAAGGAACTCTGTTTTTTCACTTGGAAAAGCTCCATTTTGCATTAAAGCCCCAGGAAAACCCAGCCGAGAGACTTGGACTCCTATAGACACGCTTCCTGCCTCTAATTTATAATCCCACGTTGGGTGTAACATGCAAGTGAGATTATTTTAGTTGAATAGAAATAACCCTTCTGCGGTAGAGGTGAGGGGGTGAGATGAACTTGAGGTTTCCTCTCCTCCGCTGTCTTCTGTTCCTCTGGTGTACCCCCTTCTGGAGGGAACTGGAGCCCGGGACCGATGTTTGGGAAGGGGAGCGGCGAGGTGGTCTGCAGGCGTTGGTGTATGTTGTACTTTGTTCACAAATAAATCTTGAGGTCGCCAAGCCTTTCAGTGGATCTCAGTTTTGTAGCTTTCTACTCAACAGGTCTATGCAGGAAAACGGTGAACTCAAAATCGAGAGCAAGATTGAAGAGGTTAGTTCCTTTCCCGTAATTTGTTTCCGGTTTTTTCGTTATGTTTGTCACTTTCAGCTCCTTCGCTGGTGCTGCTGTCTTTAGTGTGGCAGCTTGCTGCTAATACGTGATTTGGAAAACATCTCCAAAATTTACCCTTATTTAGAGGAGCCTTTCTGTCCTTATGCTCTGGATGCATCCCTGTGTTAGCGTTTGTCTGTTTTATCAAGGTGTGATGTACTGAATTCCTACTCAGAGGCAAAATGGGTTTAAAAGTTTGTTACGACTTCTCAAGTGACCTTCGAGAATTTCTTAGAGAGGGGGAGGTGAGTACCAGGGGTGCAGGCAAGTGCCAGAGCAGATGTTGAAAGGAAAACCAGCCCAACTCAGATGCTGGGACTCCGGGAACACAGAGGGTTACCACATGCACAGATGGGGGAAGTTACACACCCACCTCTGAGAAAGCTAGCTCCTCTGGTGGATTTATACACCTTCTGTTTGAAAATAATCGCTTATGCTTTTAGTCAAATAATTGTAGATATAGGTATGCTAGTGTGACGTGGGCTGTGGGAGGGGATGGAGAGTCCCTCATTTTGGTTCGAAGCCAAATGTCACAGTCCTGGAGAAGCCCTTGGATTGAGCTCCCTGTGTTAAAACACAGCATTGTGGGTCGGCTCACAGCCTGCCATTCATTCATGTGCTGAGCAGATGACATGGCGATTATGTGCAGAAACAAGAGGTTAAGCTTTTAGGGGAGGGCAACGTTTAGGGGATTCTTTAGTTCCTAAAAAGAACGGGTGGTGGTGATCTGTTTTTTGTGAGCCTCAACCACTTTGCTTATTAGTAAGGAAAGTAAAAAGTTAATTTTCTGAGAGAGACTTAAGTGTCTCTGGAGTAAGAGTTCCAACATACAGTTTATCATCTCGATTCTTAACATGTGATTCAAGTGATCTAACTTAATTTCAAACTGGAAGTGGATAGTAGAAGAAATTAAAATCTGATTTGTGTTACATCATGTCTGTGTGGAACACCAAAGAGGGATGGTGGAGAACTCTATTTGCTTCAAAAGTAATTTTGGTTATTTTTGTTTTAGATTGTTGAACCACTAAGAGAGAAAATCAGAGATTTGGAGAAAAGGTATGTGCACGTTTTTAAGGAAAACCCTTCTATTTACTGACTTTAGAAGGTCAGCCTCTGATATAAGCTCATCTCACCTCTGTCATTTTTTTAACCATGTAATTCTATAATATGAGAGGTGTTAGGTGCTTTCAACATAAGAACTTTTTTCTGTGAGAAGGTAGATGTTTACTGTCAAATTTGATGCAGTGTTTTTAAAGCTTTATCTTCCTTTATTTTGCTTTTTACAAACTATTTCTGATGAAAGCTATGGATTCTCTCTAGGAAAAAAAACTTATTTATTTCAATAAAGTTAATTGTTTCAGGAGTCTTCCTGAAGCTCAACCACACAGATCCTACACTAAAAGTCGTTCCTCTGTTATCCCGTCAGTTTGATTTCTACAAACTCTCATATCTAAACAAATAACCACATAAATGTTTTGGTTTTGGTTTTTAATCTCGATTTGAATATAATACTCAAATATTCCAAACATTTGAAGAAGATAGGATCTAGGTGTGTTGAAATCTTCCTTTTCTGAACCCCGTGAATTTCTCAGTTCCTGAAAATTCGTGGCATACAAGTTGAGGCTAGGCCTTACCTTCTTTTAAGTTATGCAAGGCGATCAGATGGTTTCTAGCATATACTGATTAATCTGAGGGAATTCCAAAAGAAGAAAAAAAAAACCAAAAAACTGGAGGGTCTAAAACCCAGTACTATATGTAAGTACTGTAAGAAATTAGGGGTCACTTATTTGCTTGTCACCATACCTCAGGAAGCTTCCAGAATTGAGTCCAGGTGAAGTGGCTGGGAGGGAAGCATTGTATAATATGGTGGGAACTTACTTGAATCAGATTCCAGAGCAAGTTGCTCCTCACCCTTTGTCTTGGTGTTTTCCCCGACTCTCCTCCTGCTGTGTGTAGTTCTATTGTACCCACATTCCCTCTCTCTCCAAAACATTGGAGCTCGGGGCACTGGAACTTTTCCCTTGAGTTTATCTGGAAAACTGTGCATCCAGCATAACAGTTGGGTTTTTAGAGGTTTAAAACAGAAAAATGAAAACCCTCATTAAAGTTGACGTTATTTTTTTTTTCCTTACCTTGGCATGGGTTTGGATGATGTGTATCAGTATTGTATGAGCCTTTATCAAGCCCAGATTCATAAAAGAAGAAATGGAGAGCAATTTTTTCTTTGATTTCGGTGTCTGCGATAAATGATCGCAGAGAAATAAGGGTGAAGAACATCAAACTAAATATGTTCATCATTTTCTTCTTTGTCCTCAATTGATAGTTTATATGCAGTCATACAGACTATTAATTTCAACTCTTGCTGTACTAAAAGTTGTTATTTTTTAGCAGATTGAGTTAGTAATATAAAGTTGTTATTTGTTCTTTAAATTTTTCTTGCTGTGATTTGGGCTGAAATTATGCTGCTGGTAACATTTCACTGGATGGGGGCCAGAAATTCCACCTTTAATAAGACTGGTAGAATTTGAGAGATTTTAGTTGAAACTTAAAAAAAAATTGCTTATGGTAAGAAATAACCAACCAGGTTTTATGTTGGCCAAAAAAAAAAAAAAAAAAGGCCCGCCAGTGATTATTTTCTTTAGAGAGTAATATTCATTTATGAAAAGTGAATCAATTGTATAACACTTCCCTAAAGCAATGGCTTACACACAAGATCTCTTGAAATAGGAGAATTTTATGATTCCTTTTGATACTTTTGTGACAATATTTGTGCTTTTTAAACAGGAAAGAGAAGCACAAGTATGAATGTAATTTTGAAGAAAGTACCAGTAACTCATTCTTGTCGAGCTGTGAGAGCTCCCTTTAGGATGGGTGTAGAGGTCAAGCATTTGCCTCTTGGGGCTGCTTTACTAGTTATTCATCCTCAACTGGTTCTGTTCTCCAGTTTGGTGATCAAGTCAGGCGACAGATGAGCCCGAGTTGTTGTGTGTGTTAGAAAGTCAAGTATGGACAAGACTTTGTGGTAGAAATCGATGGAGCTCTGTCGGGTTTTATTTTTCTTGACTGATTTATATGATAAGAATGATCAAACACCCATCTTGACGTGAGCAAGATAAGAATATAACTGGACTACATTGTGTTGATGTGCTTGTCACCTGGGGGCAAAGTGGCCCCCAAGATATTTAAGGATATTTTTGAAAGGTAAAGATTATATTCATACAAGGAAAGAAATGGGGACAGTGCCCTTTGAGAAGCCTGAGTAAGTGGGTTGTGTGAGTTTTTTCTCTTCTTTACAGCACCCCCCTCCCATTTCTTAAGAGTTTGATTGCCTGCCATTTGTTTAATTTCATCTCCCTATCTTTATATTTTCTGTGAATAGATAGCAAGTCATGATGAGAACTTAAATTCTAGGTAAAAACACTTCTTACTACTGCTACTTTAATGAACAGTAAGGGTAGAGTCTGGAATGGCATAGAATAATTTCTAAAGGATTAATTTTGGGGGGTAAGAAAAGTTCCATTATTCAATTCGTGCTACATTCTGCCTCCCTTGCTTGCTTGTCTCTCTCATACTCAAATGCCGACTGCAAGCTTCATGTGGGCAGGGCCTTGACCCTCTATGTTGTTTGCTTCTGTATCCTTAGCATGTGGCACAAAATTGGTGCTCATTAAAAAGTTCCCAAATGAATGTATGGATGAGCCAGTATGCTACTACATAGGGTTTTAACCTACTTCATGCCTTTAAAGAAGCCTATGCTTCTTCCTTGCCCACTTTGTTCAGTGCTTGGCAAGTACAGCAGGGGAGGGCTGAATGATGTGCTGAAGGAGTGGCCCAGCTAGCACCACATCAGAACCACCTCACACTGTCACCACAGAGTTACCACGCAGTCACCTCAAGCGGTGACCTCACAGTTCCCAAGCAGTCACCTCACGCAGTCACAGGTTACCATGTGGTCACCCCCGGAGTCACTGCCTCAGAGTTCCCACACAGTCACCTCATGCTGTCACAGAGTTACCATGGGGTCACCTCACACAGTCACCTCAGAGTTGCCATGCAGTCACCTCACATGACCACCTCAGGGTTGCCGCTCAGTCCCCTCATGCAGTCCCATAACTCTGTCACCTGTGGCTGCAGGAAGGCAAACAGGGTGAAGTGCGGACTGAGGAGGACCCTGAAGGAGCTTTCCCCCTGCTCTTGCTTCTGGCTTTGTGTGCCTGGCTTCTAAAAGGAAGAAATGAGGGTTGTGAGAATTTTTCCAACACTTTAATCACTTGATCATACATATGAAATCTGAAACTTGGTTGCTACATGTTGAAGAAAAACAGCAAGAAGCCCAGCCAATGTCTTCTTTTTTTTTTTTTTTTTTTTTTTTTTTTTTTTTTTTTTTTTTTTTTTTTTTTTTTTTTTTAAGTTTTAGCACACACTGTTTGAAGTAGGTTTATCAGTCTGTACTTCACATGTGACCTTGTGTCAGGCAGTTAATGTTTTTGCTTCAGTTTTATTTTTTAAGTATATTTCCTGTAAGAAAACTGTTTGCTGTTTTCTTTCCAGTACAAGTGGGCCACAGTGGGCAGGTAGGCAGAGGGTCGGCCTGGAAGGAGAGAGACAATGCAGATGCACCACGTGGCTGGTTGCAGAATTTGGGACTGAGGCTGAACGGTGGATGTGGGGCGCTCAGAGAAGAGAGGGGACATCGGGCCCATGTGAGGGGTGCACGCAGGCAGTGCTGTCGTTTGCTTGGCCCCCCTCCAGCTGACTGATAGAGGAAGTACTTGGAATGACAAGAAGTGTCACTTTGCCAACAAGACATCTGTCAGGCTCCCTGAAGGCTGCCAGTGTTCTAGCAGGCGGAGCTTGCCCTGTTCCACGGCAGCCGTGATAACATTCACTCGGCCCTCACCGTGGCGGCCTGTGGTAAAGACAGTCCGTTCCAGGGCAGCCCTCTCTGGGAGGTGCTGTGGTTACCATGGACGGAGCAGAAGGCCCTGATGTGCACAGAGCTCTTGGGGGTCTTGCTCTGGGTCACAGAACTAGTAAGGGAGAAGCCCAAGATTGTCACCAGTTCTCTCAGATGCTCCCACCTGCCTGTGTCTGGTTTTGTAGTCTGCAAGGGGAACTTGACCTTTTGAGAATCTGGAAGCTCTTAATAGGGGAATTCATCTGCATTGTAAGAGAAAGCCCTCCTGCCCCAAGCTCCAATTTAAGCATGTTTCCACTCTTCCAAGAGATGAGAAACACTTGCTTCAAGGTCTTCTGTCTAATGACCTGTCATATTCTGTTCAGTTCAGCGACCATTAAGGAAATGCATTCTGTATCCCAGCTGGGGATATGGAGGGCATGAGACAGTGCCCCTGGCACCTCTCCAATTAAAATAATGACTGCAAAGTTGATTTCTCTGAACTTACTTAAAGCACTTTTGTTCCTGACTGAACCACTTCAAGAATGGATGTTTCAAATCTGCATTTATCAGCTCTCGGTTGATGTTTTATCTGCCACTTGCGTTGCCCTGCCCCGAAACATCAGTGTGGGTTGGGGACCATGGAACCTTTACCGGGGCAAGAGGCATTGGAAGGGTAAAGTGACACTTAAGATGGGTTCAGAGCGGACTGTGGGAGACAGAAAGTGCTGATGCCCAGTCATCTTGTCCGGGGGCACTGGTGTAGAAACGGATGATGCAATAGTGAAATTGGCCAGAATAAGGGAACAGGCTTCGTTTTTTCGTTTCTTACCCTTGCAAGGCACAATCTCCTGCTTTGGATCTGTGACTTCACGAGGCTGCTTTCTTCCTTCCGGACCCCCAGACATCATTGTGAGGACGCTGCCACCTCCCGTGTTTTGTGTTTAGCTCTGGCTCCTCACAGCCTGTGCAGTGACAAATGTTCCCTTCTCAAGCACGGACTCGCGATCCTCAGCTTGATCCTGCCCAAGGAGCAGGTTGCATATTTCTTGAATTCGAACGAGCCGGGAGTTGCTTGGTTCCTGTAGCCTCTTTGGAATGGCTAGAAGGGCTGACAGTGATAATTCCACAATCTAGCCTTTGTTTTGTTGGGACTAGAGAAAATCTTCCAGGAGATGTTTGACTTTTCTAATCTCTTCACGTTCTACAGCTTCACCCAGAAATACCCGCCAGTAAAATTTTTATCCGAAAAGGACCGTAAAAGAATTTTGGTAAGTTTGCACATCTGATTAATATTTGTAATATCCAGACACTTGCTTTTTTTGTTGTTGTTGTTAATGTTTATTCATTTATTTTGAGAGAGAGAGGGAGACAGAGAAGGGGGGAAGGGCAGGGAGAGAGGGAGAGAGAGAATCCCAAGCAGGCTCCATGCTGTCGGCGCAGAGTCTGACACGGGGCTCAATCCCATGAACTGTGAGATCATGACCTGAGCTGAGATCAAGAGTTGGACGCTTAACCGACTGAGCCACCCGGGCACCCCAAAACTTGCTTTTTTAAAAAGAGGTATAATTCACATACCGTAGGTCATCCATACCGAGTATGATGTATAGTGTGTTCACAAAGTCACAACAGCATCATATTGTATTTTTAGAATGTTTTCATCACTTCAGAAAGAAGCCCCACCCCCATTGCCGGCCATCCTCCTCCCAGCTCCTGGCAAGCACTGAAACTACTTTCTGTCTCTATAGATTTGCTTGTTTTGGACGTTTCCTGTGAATGAAATGATAGACTATGTGGTCTTTACTATCTGACTTCTTAGAGTAATGTTTCTAAGGTTCAGCCACGCTGCAGCACAAATCAGTACTTCATTTCTTTCTGTGGCTGGATAACATTCCATATTATGGGTGTACCACATTTTTGTTCATCCATTTATCAATTGATGGACAGTTGGGGTTGTTTCTACTTTAGGCCATTGTGAATAAAGCTGCTGTGAACCAAAGGTGTATTTAAGTTTTTGTGAAGACCTAGCTTTTCCTTTTTCTTGGGTATATACCTAACGCCATTGGCTGACGAGACTAATCGTCTCCCATTGAATTGTCTTGGTACCCTTGTCAAAAACCAACTGACCATAGTGAAAATATTTATTTCCGGACTCTTAGTTCCGTTCCATTGATCCTGTCTGTCCTTAGGCCAGTATTACTGTCTTGGTTACTGTATGTTTATACTAAGTTTTGAAATTGGGAAGTGTGAATCCCCCCACTTTGTCTTCTTTTTTAAGGTAGTTTTGCCCACTCTGGATCCCTTACAGGCCTGGTGAATTTTAGAATTAAATCATCAGTTTCTTCAAAGAAACTACCTGAGATTTTGATACAGACCGCATCGAATCTATAGATGAATTTGGGCATTATTGCTATCTTAACAATATTGTCTTCCGGATCCCTGAGAACGGTGGGGAGGGGAGGCTTTCTATTTATTCACATCTTCATTAATTTCTTTTAACATACTTTTTGTTTATAGTTTTCATAGTATAAGTTTCACACTTCTTATGTTAAATTTATTCTGAATGAAGTGTTTTATACTTTCTGATGTTGGCATAAATGGAATTGTTTTTTCCATTTTTCTAATTTGTATTTATTGCAAGTAAATAGAACTATAGTAGATTTTTGAATTTTCTCATATCCTGCAAATTGCTGAAATCATTGGATTCTAATAGTTTCAGGTTCCTGAGGACTTTTCAATATATTGTATAAGATCCTACCGTCTGCAGTTATAGGTGGTTTAACTTCTGCTTTATCAGTATGAATACTTTTTGTTTCACTTCCTTGCCTAATTGTCTTGGCCAGAATCCTTAATACAGTGTTGAACAGAAGTGGGAAGAGCAGACATCCTTGTCTTATTCCTCATCTTAGGGGAAAGTTTTGTCTTTCACCATTAAATATGGTGTTAGCTGAGGGCTTGTCATAGATGTCTTTTATCAAGTTGACCAGATTCCCTTCTGCCCCTAGTTTGTTCATTTTGCAATTGATCTTGCATATCTGGGATAAATCTCAATTGGTTAATGTATGATCCTTTTTTTTTTTTTTTTAATTTTTTTTTTCAACGTTTATTTATTTTTGGGACAGAGAGAGACAGAGCATGAACGGGGGAGGGGTAGAGAGAGAGGGAGACACAGAATCGGAAACAGGCTCCAGGCTCTGGGTCATCAGCCCAGAGCCTGACGCGGGGCTCGAACTCACGGACCGCGAGATCGTGACCTGGCTGAAGTCGGACGCTTAACCGACTGCGCCACCCAGGCGCCCCTGATCCTTTTTTTTTTTTATTCGATCTGAAGAGAAACCAGAGTATTGATCCTTTTTTTTTTTTAATGTTTAATATCTATTTATTATTTTTGAGAGACTGAGAGAGACAGAGCATGAGTTGGGAAGGGGCAGAGAGAGAGGGAAACACAGAATCCGCAGCAGGCTCCAGGCTCCAAGCTGTCAGCACAAGAGCCCGATGCGGGGCTCGAGCTCACGAATGATGAGATCATGACCTGAGCTGAAGTCGGTCACTTAACTGACTAAGCAACCCAGGTGCCCCTGTATGATCCTTTTTATATATTGGTAGATTTCATTTGCTAGCATTTTGTTGAGGATTTTTATGCCTGTATTTGTAACACATTTTGGTCTGTAATTTTCCTTTTTTTATGATGTCTTTAGCTGGTTTTGGTACTAGGGTAATACTGACCTCATAGGATAGGTAGAGAAATGTTCCCTCCTCTTCTGTTTTTTGAGATGCTTTTGTGAATATTTGGTATTAATTCTCATTGAAGTGTTTGGTGAATTTCACCACAGAAGTTATCTGGGCTTTTTTG